CAGATCTTTTACATCTTGGGTTAGGTTTATTCCTAGGTATTTTCTGGTGTTTGTGCAATTGTGAATGGGATCAGTTTCTTGATTTCTCTTTCTGTTGCTTCTTTATTGGTGTATAAAAATGCAATTGACCATCCCCTGCTCACGCTGTTCCTCTCTCTCTCAGAAATAAATTAAACATTAAAAAAATAGAAAAGGACAGATACCATATGTTTGCACGTATAGATGGATTAGGAGGAACTTAATAGAGGACCATGGGGGAGAAGAAGAGTAAAAATAGTTGGGGAGTAGGAGGGAGGCAAACCATGAGAGACTCTTGAATACTGAGAACAAATTGAGGGCTGATGGGGGTGAGGAAGAGGGGAGGAGGGGTGATGGGCATGGAGGAGGGCACTTTTTGGGATGAGCACTGAGCATTATATGGAAACCAACTTGACAATAAATTATGAAAAAAAAAACTTGAAAGAAACAGCAAGAAAATAATATGGAAACAAGAACTTACTTATCAATAACTACTTTACACACAAATGGACTAAAATATCCAATCAAAAAGCAGAGAGTAGATGAAGGGATTTTTACAAATCTATCAATATGCTGCCTACACGAGACTCACTTTAGCTTTAAAGATACTTATCAGCCCCAAAGTAAATTAATGGAAAACACCACACAAATGTCAAGTAGAAGAAATCAGGACAGGAGTGGCAACATTTATATCAAATAAAATAGACTGTCAATTGATATTGATCCAAATAGACAAAGAAGGTCAGTGAATAGTGAGAAAAGGGTCATTTTAGAAAGAAGATATAATAATAATAAATATACATGTGCACACCCTTATACTAAAGCAAATATTAACAAAAATCTTATAGGGAGAAATAAATAGAAGTACAATAATAATAATGGGCTTCAATACCTTACTTCCAACATTGGATAGATACAAAAAATAAGGACTTAAATAACACTGTAGCAGATATATACAGAACATTCTACATAAAAGCAACAGAATACACATTATTCTTAAGAACACAGGAAGCATTCTCCAGGATAGATCATATGTTGGGCTACAAACTTAAGAAGATTGAAATTGTATCAAATATTTTTATGACCAGAATAGTATGAAAGTAACAACAAATAATGGAGAAAGTGGAAAAATTTACAAGTATATGAATATTAGGCTGCACACTCTTGAATAACCAATTAGAAGGCAAATCAGAAAGCATCGAGACAAATGAAAATGAAAAACAACATACAAAAATTTATGAGTTGCAAATGTCTATATTAAGAGAAAAGAAAGATCTAAAATGAATAATCTAACTTTATTCCACAAGGAATTAGAAAAAAAAAGAATGTTTGAAGCCCCAAATTAGCAGAAGGAAGGAAATAATAAAAATAAAAGCACAAATAAATAAAATAGAAACTAGAAAGACAGTAGAAAAATCAATAAAACAAAGAGTTGGATTTTTTAAAACATAAAGTAAATTGACAAACTTTTAGCTGGACTAACCAAGAAAAAAAAAAGAAAGAACTCATGTACAAAATTATGACTGAAAAAGGAAACATTAGACCAGGAGAATACAGAATACTGGTTATCAATCCTCAGGGAATAGGGTACTGTTCGCCATTTACTAAACCCAGGGGGGAGAACTGCAAACAGTTTTCCGCTTGTCATTTGGTATGAGAGTTGCTAATGAAAACACAATGCAGTCAAGCACTGAATGGAACATCACTTTACATATATAAAGAGCAAGATTAGCTTCAGTAGCGTGTCTCAGTATTCCATGGTCAGTGAATCTTCTCCAGTGGCTGATGGCAAGCAGTTTTCCTATGTACATTTCTCCTATGCCTTAGTAGAAGGAACTGTCCCATCTGGGCAGAGGACAGACAAAGCACTGGAATTGTCCAGGTTCCACATGACCTACAATCTCTAAAGACATATTGATCATTTACTGCATGCAGAAAAAGGAAAGATAGTTTTCACACAATGTGGTAAGCCTGGCACAGTTTGTATGGACACTTTCTCTCTTGGTAAGAAATGTCCCAAACCCAAGACTCATTCTTTTTTTTTTAATATGTGTATTTTTAATTCAAGTATAATTATCATACAATGTTATATTAGTTTTAGGTGTACAATAAAATGGTTCAACAATTCTATATTTTCTATTCACTGCTCATCACAATTAGTGTACTCTTAATCCTCTTCAACAGTTTCATGCACCTGCCCACCCCTCCCCAAGGCAACCACAGTTTGTTCTCTATGTTTAAGAGTCTGATTTTTATTTATCTCCTTTTTCTTTACTTGCATGTTTTGTTTCTTAAAATCCACATATGAGTGAAATCATTTGGTATTTGTCTTTGACTGACTTATTTCACTTAGCAGTAACCTCTAAATCCATCCACATTGTTGCAAATGGCAAGATTTCATTCCTTTTATAGCTGAGCAATATTCCAGTGTGTGTGTGTGTGTGTGTGTGTGTGTGTGTGTGTGTGTGTACCATCTCTTTATCCATTCATCATTTGATGCACAGTTGGGTTACTTCCATATTTTGGATATTGCAAATAATGCTACAATAAACATAGGGGTGCACAAATGCCCAATAGTTGTTGTCAGGGAACTGAGAGTAGGAGAAATGGGGAAATGTTGGTCAAAGAGATTACAAACTTTATTTTATAAGATTAATAAGTTATTGGGATACAATATACAGCATGGTGACTATAGGTAAAAAACTGTACTATACATTTGACAATGCCTAAGTACATCTTTAATGTTCTCACTATAAATTAATATATTTTATTTATATTGTATATTTTATGTATTAAAGACTAAACAATACATATTTATATATATACTTATTACATATACTTGTTTATATATATACCAAAATATTCATATATATAAGGTGATAGACATGTTAGCCTTATTGTGGTATTCAGTTCGCAATATATGAGTTTATCAAATTATTGTAAACCTTAAACTTATATAATTTTATATATCAATTATATCTCTATAAAGTTGGGGAAATTTAAATGGATTGTATGTTTAAGTTTTATAAATGATATTTTACCTTAAGATAATCTTCCATCATCTCTTTTGAGAACTATTAATATAATAACTATATTGTAGATGTCCTACCTTATATTTGGGAATTAATCCTACTAGATGATGCCATGCTGTTATTTTAATAATTCTCAATTCTATTTCCTTACTTGTTAATTTAAGATTTTTGCATTTATATTCTAAATCAGTACGGTGTGATGTAGCAATCACTAGCTACCTGTGGATATTGAGCACTTGAAATGCAAGTAGTATGAATTGATATATACTGTAAGTTTATAATTCATACTAGTATTTGAAGACCTACTATGAAAATAATTACTTAAAGCATCTCATCAATTATATTTTTATTACATGTTGAAATATTTTGAATCTATTAGGTTAAATAAAACATTACTGAAAATGATTTTATTTCTTTTATTTTTAATGATGCTATTATTACCTTTAATTATATATGTGACTTGCATTATGTTTCATTGCACTATATTTCTGTGTCGTATTTTTATTTCACTTATGCCAATTATGTCTATATCAATGTTAATACTCTTGCAGTGAATATTTTGACTGTAAAAACATCCCTTTTTATGTGCTTTGGCATAGGATGTAATTCTTTAAGAATTATAGAGAATTCTACACATCAAAATATGTGGGCCTGGAACTTTTGAAAAGGTTACCTTAATTGTGAATTTTAATTTTTAATTGTTCTTTCCACTTTTTCTGGTATATTTTGCTCATTGCTATTTTTTTGAAAGTGCTGATTTCCTCAAGATATATGATCTTATTTTCCTGTTACTAGATGATAGATATATTGGTAGATAAATAATGATGTTTAACAAAGAAATATAACCTAGCAGTTGGCTCATAAATTCTACCCATATGTTAGAATTAATTCTTTTCTAAAATTAGGTAATTTTCTTGTGACAATAGCTGATGATTTCCTTTGTCCTACAAACATGCATAAAACTTTTACATTGCTTGGAAATAGTTTACAATCTTGGAATTCCTTCCAAATATCTACATTTCTGGATTCCCTTGAGAATGTTGATGACCCAGAAACACCAGGCCTGCATTTGTAACAGTCAATTGCTGTAATAGCTTTTTATTTTTAATAAATGTATCCTCCTTATTTCACTTCTGTTATTCATGCCACTCCAAACATCACCAGTTCATTTCACTCACATTACATGCTCAAGCCTGGTAGACATTTTAGTCTACGAGCTGGAGAATAGGTTTTGGAATCTAAAAGAGCAAAATTCATTTCAAGCTTTTGCACTTGAGAATGTGAACTTCCAAAATATTCATAATCTCTCCCAGCTCTACTTTTCTTATCTATTAAATGGGAATAAAATACCTACTATCTAGAATTATTGTGAAGATTAAAGGAGATAATATTTGAAAAATGCTTAATATAATATCTGGCACATGGTAGCTATTTAATAAGATTTTAAAAATTATTAGACATCTTTGTATTTAATTGGATAATATATGTTAAATTGTGAAGTAAATAAGGTTAAGGGATGTACTTGTGATGAACACTGGGTTTGTATGTAAGTGTTCAATCACTAAATTGTACACCTGAAACTAATATTACACTGTATGTTAACTAACTGGAATTTAAGTAAAATCCTTAAAAAATAAGGCTAGGGACACCTCAGGTGGCTCAGTTGGTTAAGGGTCCAACTCTTAATTTCAGCTCAGCTAATGATCTCTCAGGGTCATGAGTTCAAGCCCCAATCAGGTTCTGCACTGGCAGCACAGAGCCTGCTTGAGATTCTCTCTCTCCCTCTCTCTTTGCCCCTCCCCTGCTCATGCTAAAAATAAACAACCAAACTTAAAAATAAGGCTAAAAACTATATGGTAAAATATTTTTAATTAATTTCATGTGCTATAATTTTACTGTAAACAAAATTTTAGTTTTAAATCACCTAATCTGGCAATCTTATTATTTCAGTTAAAAATGAAGTAACCTCAGAACTTCCAGATACAGCAGATCTTCCACCAATGAATCCATCAATTAGTGATCTAATACTTCAGTTAGGTTTAAACAAAGTCATAGGTAAGTAGAGATTTATGATGTTTGGGCAAGTAAAACACAATCTAAGGGTTAAAGTATTTCAGGGGCGCCTGGGTGGCTCAGTCAGTTAAGCATCTGACTTCAGCTCAGGTCATGATCTCACAGTTTGTGAGTTCGAGCCCCACATCGGGCTCTGTGCTGACAGCTCAGAGCCTGGAGGCTGCTTCGGATCCTGTGTCTCCCTCTCTCTCTGCCCCTTCCCTACTCATGTTTGGTTTCTCTCTGTCTCAATATTAAATAAACATAAAAAATAAAGTATTTCAGCTCTAGTTCTTTTGTTAAAACAAAGTAAGAAATTCAAATGTAGGGCAGCCTTTCTCAGTTTAAAAATAACTTAATCAATTAATCTTTATATCAATTAATATTTATCTTTAAGTGAGTGTGTGCTCATTAATCCACCAAACAAGCTTTCATTAGGTAATGTTTAATAGTTTTCCTTTGCTGTTTATAAAACAAAAATATATAGGATTCTCCCTACATTGTGAATTTTCATAACAAACTAGTTATTATATGATCAGTTTCTTAGAGAATATAGTTTTCATTTCTTAAATCATCTTTTGTAATAACAAGATGGAATAAGAAAAATGGAGCTTTCACAAGATAGGCAATATGGCTGCTTTTTGATCTACGTATCATAAAGTTGGGACATTTTTTTTTTAAGTTGAGTCTTTTCACTTATTTATAGTCCTGTAATTTTATTATTTATTTATTCATTTTTAATTTACATCCAAGTTAGTTAGCATATAGTATAACAATGATTTCAGGAGTAGATTCCTTAATGCCCCTTACCCATTTAGCCCATCCCCCCTCCCACAACCCCTCCAGCAACCCTCTGTTCTCTATATTTAAGGGTCTCTTATGTTTTGTCCCCCTCCCTGTTTTTATATTATTTTTTCTTTCCTTCCCTTATGTTCATCTGTTTTGTATCTTAAATTCCTCATATAAGTAAAGTCATGATACTTGTCTCTCTCCAACTCACTAATTTCATTAGCATGATACCCTCTAGTTCCATCCACATAATTGCAAATGGCAAGATTTCATTGTTTTTGATTGCTGAGTAATACTCCATTGTGTGTGTGTGTGTGTGTGTATGTGTGTGTGTGTATTTGATGAATGTATTCAAATCCTACATTTGAATACATTCATCTGTCGATGGACATTTGAGTTCTTTCCATACTTTGGCTGTTGTCAATACACCTGCAATAAATATCTGGGTCATATGCCCTTTTGAATTAGCATTTTTGCATAAAATAAAAGTCCCAAAACAGATCACAGGCACTAATATCTGTGACAGGTGTTGTAGCAATTTTTTTTCTAGATGTGTCTCCTGAGGCAAGGGAAACAAAAGCAAAAATGTACTATTGGGGCCTCATCAAGATAAAAAGCTTCTGCACAGTGAAGGAAACAATCAGTAAAACTAAAAGGTTATCAATGGAATGGGAGAAGATATTTCCAAATGACATATCAGATAAAGTATTAGTCTCCAAAATCTATAAAGAATTTATCAAACTCAACACCTGAAAAACAAATAATCCAATGAAGAAATGGGCAAAAGACATAGACACTTTTCCCAAGAAGACATTCAGATGGCTAACATACAGAAGGAAACATGCTCAACACCAATCATCATCAGAAATATATGAATCAAAATCATGATGAGATACCACCTTACACCTGTCAGAATGGCTAAAAATAACAATATAGGAAACAACAGATGTTGGCAAGGATGTGGAGAAAGGGGAACCCTCTTACACTGTTGGTGGCAGTGTAAACTGGTACAGCCACTTTGGAAAACTACCTAGGTTCCTCAAAAAGTGAAAATAGAACTACTCTATGACCTAAGGATTGCACTACTAGGTATTTACCCAAAGGATACAAAAATACTGATTTGAAGGGAAACATGTCCCCAATGTTTATAGCAGCATTATCAATAGCCAAACTATGGAAAGACCTCAAATGTCTATTGACTGATAAATGGATAAAGATGTGGTGTGTGTATATGTGTGTGTACTTTGTGTGGATGAAACTAGAATGTATTATGCTAAGCAAAATAAGTCAGAAAAAGACAAATACCAAATTATTTCATTCATATGTTGAATTTAAGAAACAAACAGATGAACAAATGTGAAGGAGGGGGAAAGAGAGAGAAACAAACCATAGGAGACTGTTAACAATAGAGAACAACTGAGGATTGATTGAGGGAGGTATGGGGGATGGTCTAAATGGGTGATGGGTATTAAGGAATACAGATGTTATGATGAGCACTAGGAGTTATTTGTAAGTAATGAATCACTTAATTCTAGTCCTCGAAACCAATATTTGAAAATAAAAGAAATTGCAATGGCATTTTTTACAAAAATATTTAAAAACTACACTAAAATTTTCATAGACCACAAAGGACTGCAAATAGCTAAAGAAATCTTGAGTGTGAAAAGCAAGGCTAGAGACATCACATAGTATGATTTCAAGCTATATCACAAAGATATGGTAATCAGTACAATATGTTGTTGACATAAAAGTAGGTAAATAATTTCATGGAACAGAATACAGAACACAGAAATAAACCCACTTATATATCATCAACTGATTTTTTACAGAGACGCTAAAAATATACAATGGGAAAATGATAATTTCTTCAATAGTGTTGGGAAAACTGGGTGTTTTTATGCAAAATAATGATCACCTATTTACATAATACACAAAATCAACTCAAATGGATTAAGGACTTAAATCCTAAAACCATAATACTCATGGTATTGAGACGAAAACATAGGAGGACATCTCCTTGATGTTACTCTAAGCAATATTGTTTTTTTGATTTGACATCAAAAGCACAAGCACAAAAGAAGAAAGTAGGAGAACATCAAACTAAAACACTTTTGTATAGCAAAAGGAACAATCACAAAATGAAGAGGCAGTCTACAGAATAGGAGAAAATATTTCTAAACTACATATCTGATAAGAGGTTAATATCCAAAATATATAATGAACTTCTATAACTTAATGGTAAAATCACCAACAGTTCATTCACAATCACAATAATTTAAGTATTTGAACAGATATTTTCCCAAAGAAGACATACAGATGCCCAACAGACACATGAAAATATGCTCAACATCATTAATCATCAGGGAAATATAAATCAAAACCACAATGAATTATCAGCTCACACTTTTTGGAATGGCTATTTATAAGAAAACAAGGGATAAGTATTGGTGAGAATGTGAAAAAAATACAACTCTTATACACTGTTGATTGTAATATAAATTTGTGCCATTGTGGAAAATAATATGAAGGTTGTTAAAAAAAATTTACAAATGGACCTACCCTAGTCTAGTAGTCACACACCTGGGTTTATATCCGAAATAAATGAAATTATCTCAAAGGAACATTTGTACACCTTTATTTATAGTGGCACTATTTATATAGCCAAGATGGAAGTAACTGAAGTGTCCACCATCCATTGATGACTGAAGGATGAATAGATAATGAATAATAAATATATATGTAGATATCCATATGTGTATTTCTATATCTATATATACACACATATGTATATACATATATATCTATATCTAACATACATACGCATAGATATATATAATTTTGCCATAAAAAAGAAGGAAATACTGCCTCTTGCAAACATGTGGATAAACCTGGGGAATGATTGGTCAAAGGATTCAAACTTTTACTTATTAGGTAAATAAATTCTGAGGATTTAATGTATGCATGGTGTTTACATCTAATAATCCTGTATTGCTTATGTGATATTTGCTAAGAGAGTAGATACAAACACTCTCACTAAAAATAAAGGGAGGTAGGGAGAGAGGGAAAGAGGGATGGGGAAGAAGAGAGAAGGAAGGAAGGAAAGAAGGAAGGAAAGAAGGAAGGAAAGAAGGAAGGAAAAAGTAAAGAAAGAAAAAGGGGAGGGGAGGGAGGGAGGAAGGAAGGAAGGAAGGAAGAAAAAGTCACTATGTGAGGTCATAGATGTGTTAAGTTGATTGTGGGAACCATTTTACAGTGTATACAAATATCAAATCATTGTGCTGTACACTTTAATTATAATTTTATTTGTTAATTACACTTCAATTAAGGTGGAACAATGGAAATGTCATAAAGGCATGGAGAAAAATATGTTTGAGTAGCTATATTAGTGTCAGAAAAAGCAGACTTAAGAAAAAAAGAAAAAGCAGACTTCAAGGCAAAAAAAATTACCAGGGATAAATAGAAGTATTATGTAATAATAAAAGAACCAATTCTCCAAGAATATATAATAATCCCTCTTGTGTGTATGCCTTCATGTGTGTATGCCAAAATGCATAGGCAAAACTGATAGAACTATAAGGATAAATAAATAAATGCATCCATTACTATAGTTGAAGACTTCACCCCTCTATCAGAAATGAAAATAACCAACAGGCAAAAAAAAAAAAAAAAAAAAAATCAATAATAACATAGGTGAGCTCAACAACACCATCAATCAACTGCATCTAATCGATATCTATTTGAATACCCATACAACAATAGGAGAATGCACATTGCTCTCAAGCTCACAAGCGGTATTCACAAAGATAAACCACGTTTTAAGATAGAAATCAGATGTTAAAAATTTGTCTAAAATAGAAATCACACAAATCACGCTCTCAGCTCATAATGGAATTTAAACTAGAAATCAGTAATACGCAGAGTGCTGGAAAATCTCAAAATATTTGAAGATGAAACAAAATACCTGTAAAGTACATGCTCGAAGAAGTATCAGTATAAAATTTAAAAATATGAACTAAGTGAAAATTAAAATATTGCTTATCAAAATCTGTGTGATAAAACCATGAAAGGAGTGCTTAGAAGGAAATTTATAGCATTGAATGCATATATTAGAAAATAAGAAGCTAAAAAATCAATAATCTCCCCTTCCCCCATAGGAAATTAGAGAGGAGCAGAAAAATTGTGATGAGTTTGGACTTCTTTAAAATTAATGCTTA